GGCGGCTTCTTCAATAAGAGTCGGTCGCTGGTCAGAAACCCTTTATCATATTTGGAATCTCCGTCAATTTAATGCGCCTGAAGTATGTTTGCTTAAGATTTTCTCATCGTTCGTTCGGACCGGTTGTACTCAGTTGAAGGGCTGAGAATCAAAAATGCAGCAGTCAAGTTTGCCAAACGCAAAAAGCTTTTGTTATTACTATTAGCTCAACCGATTGTTATCGCACTTGCATGCCTACCGCCTGTAGTGGAGCACTTTGCCTGCCTTATTCACAATATAATATTGGGTTGCTGCATTACGCGTGGCAGCGCCAACCAAAATCGTGATTGCGTCATTCACACGACACGACATGCTATTGGCTCATGGTTCAAGCAACAGAGTATGGAGGTTTGCACATAAAATAATGTAGCCAAAGCAACGTCAGCAGCGTCAGCTGGGGTACATATTCGTACTGGGATTGGTGCTCCCAGATCAGATTGGGGTCTCATGACAACTGGCTCCGTCCATATAACTCCAGGCACACCAGCATGAGGAAGAGATGATCTGTCTAGATTGAGACTGACTTCTAGAGACACGCTGATGAAGCTCGATCTTACGACATTGTTATAAGTCTGATATCACCCAATGAGCCCGTTCGCCGTGTATGTGCAGTAGGTGAGCTAACTCATGAAATGTCAATCGAAATTCCGTAAAGCTTTTTCCTTTTGAATAGTTGGGGTTGTAAAACTAATCATCATACAGCATAATTCTATAATAATTCAGTTACCTCAGGGTGTTGGCTTTCGAACAAATCTCTCTCCGGCTGCATGCAAAAACTACACTCTGTAAAAAAAATGGCTACTTAAGTAGCATGCATTTTTCTCATTGATCTCCGATACCCCTAAAAGTCCATTTATATTTCATGGATGACACGCATAAAAATATTTACTATTTTGCCCATTGGTAGACAGTTACGTCTACTATTAATTGTATACTCGAAGGAAGGGCATGATTCTGTTTTCGAAGACTTTTTTAATTCCCGAATAATTTCGAGCCCGGCCTGCCGTTACCCCTGCATTCAGGGTTTACAAACTACATACCCGTATATTTTCCTCTTTCGGAGTATCATAAATTTCTCTACGGTATTAACAGGAAACCGTATGGCGCTCAAAAAATTTAACAGTAAATTTGAGCCATATTGCTAATTTTTCAAGCCACATTGGTAAATGCAGAGACATGACGTTTTATGAACGTCCGTTTCACGGTATTAAAAAATCACACAATTAGAAAGTTTTTTAAAGCAATATTATACCCTTCCTTCGAGGATAAAATCGGAAGAAGACGTAATTTTCTACCAAATAAGCAAAAGAATGAATATTTTTATGCATGTTTTCCACGAAATATAATTGGACTTTTATGGGCATCGAAAATCAATGAGAAAAATGCATGCCAGTTAAGTAGCCATTTTTTGCAGAGTTTTGTTTTTGCATGCAGCCAGAGAGAAGTTCGTTCGAAAACCAGTACCCTGAGGTAACTGATCTAATATAGGGTTATGCTGCATGATGATTAGTTTCACAAATCCACTTAATTAATCTTCTCAGATCGCAAACGCTTTTCGAAATGTCGATTGACATTTTATGAGTTCGCCCACCTACTGTACACAGTTGGACCCGCGACCCACGTGAACCTGGGCTTTGAACTGGAAAATAGAGTCAAACGCCTGCGACCCTGTCGGTCGTTAAGCGGTATATCTATTCCCACTGAAGTGTTGTCCTGCGGTTTGAATGTATGACGAAAATGTGCACGTCGTGTTCTGTCTTGGACTTCCAATCAGAGTCCTGGTGGAACATCCGACATACTTCAATATGCCATCTCATTAAATGTTGACTGAAATTCCGAAACTTGATTCAATTTCAAAAGACTACTTTACTAGGGTTGTAACATCTGTTACAATGTACTATAATGTTAAGATGTTCCAGTCGCGTCCGGATATCGGCTTTTGAATGAGTTTCATGTCAACGGCCTGCATAAACTATATTTTGTAAAAAAATGACAGCTTAATGTGCGTGAATTTTTGCCATTGACCGCACCCTAACTTCGAGAGCACATCCTGTCCAAGTGGACAGAATAAACTGCTGAAATAAGTTCGCTAGTGATATTATGGAGAGTATCGTCACGCCAGATAAGAAAAATGTCTTTTTTCGTTAAAATGGAATCATTCCGGACATAAAAGACCCAGCAGGCCTAAGTAGACTTCCTACGATGAGGCCGTAAACACAGTTGGCGACTCAACTGCATCTTACCCTTAGGTGGCGACGGAAGAAATTTAATTTGACAATAGATTATGAAGGAAAGGGAGACTCCTGGCAGAGGAACTCAAAAAAGTAATGTCCTGTATATTACATTTGTTGCTGTGGACATCTTGGAAGCAACACGACACTATGCCGCTAGTGCGACAAATTGCCTCTGGGTGTCGTCGTCATTATGAGCAAATCTCGATTGCTTCCCATTTTCTCACAAATATATGAAGATAGCATCGTTACTTGCTAACTGAAAGTAGATAACCCAGTCTCTTTAACTAGGCAGACGGTTCAGAAGAAGGTGCGACCGCTGGGACAAGAGATTTATCAGCTTAACGTTTCGGATTCTCAATCGAACCCGTCACCAGGGACAGTCACAGAAAAGGGTAGTCGAGACAGTATTCATAGGACGCAGATGCTTGACAAACACATGCTTAAAATGCTTAGCAACACTCGCGTTCATTGCTGGGGTTCGTATTTGTTGCGATAATTGCTTGTCTGTCCGTACCTGAGCCGTTGATTGCCGTGAATTTCTCATCGTTGTTAATTTTTTACTTGACGACTACCCGGAAGTTTGGCTTACTGTCACCGGAACTGTTGATCGTGCGAGCCCTGTCCTGGTGATTAATTATTTGGCCCAGGCAAAATCGCAGCACAAAATATGGAGGCGGAAGGTCATTGTGCTTGTTAACTGAATGCGGGCCGGTGAAGCATGACTCATGCAGTTCGCATCTCACGTGGTTATCGATTTCTGTGGGAATTTCGGCCTCGTCAAACTAGAGTCACGATTTGAGAGCTAGCGTCATCCTTCCCACCGCTGCTGCATTTTCGGCCATTAGCGTTCGGAGTAATCCCCCAGTTCCTCTGACGAATTTGTTTTGCCCACAACTGCGCCAGATCCGGTAACCGACTCCGTACGTTTACTGCCGTGACATTAGGTCTTACGACCCCATGACTTGGCATCAGATGGCTGCCTCCGGTTTGTGTGCATCTCCAACTCCGGGCGGTTTGAGAAGGTGGCTGAAAGTTTTTACTTATTTGGTAGCAAATGACGTCGTCTTTACCTTTCACACTCGAAGAAAGAGTATACTTAAGCTTTGATAAAATTTCCCAATCCCCGAATAATTTTGAGCCTGATCAGCTGTTGTATTGGCTTTTGGCGATTTCAGTCTACAAGGGGCATGCCTTCCGCGTAAGAAGAATCATATATTCCTTTATGTCCTTAAGAAGAAATCATATAGAGTTCATAAAATTTCGCCATGGATGCTCACTATGTCATTTACTTTACGGGGAGCATTAGTACACGGACAGGTACGATGGACATTCCACTGTCTTAAAAAATCTCATACATCGAAACATTTTAGAACCGAAGAGTGCCGACATGATTTGCTACAAAAACTTAAATTTATAAAATTTATGAAAATGCAGACTACATCAGTAGTCGTTTTTTTACCATGTGGAGTTTTTGCATGAGGCCGAAAAGAAGCGTATTCAAAACCCAACATCCTGGCGAGTCCGAAACATCACGGAAGTACGTCGCGAGTTAATCAGTATCACAGCCCAACCCAAGTAATCATTCTTGATCGGAAACGCATTTTGGAATTTCGGTTAAAACTTCATTCACTGGTAATTCCAATGACATAGAACATTACACTCTTTTATTTTATATTCTTAGAAAATAAAATAGTTTCACGGATGTAAGCGAATATGCGAATCCCAGGTTCTTGTTGTAAAGACGATGAAGATCCGATCTCTGCGACAGTGGGTTTATTAGTCTGAGCTTTCGGTCTCGTACAGGAGGCCATCGTCAGAGACTGTGAGAAGGCAACATCAAATGAGCGGTTTTTGTAGTCACGCCATGAAGGGGGGGGAGAGATATGAGTGCAGCGGGTGGTATTCTCGATAAGTTGCGTCCCACGCCGTCTCACGGTGGCGTGACTGTGTGCACCCTTGGCTGGAAATTGGGTCTCGCCCCTTGGCCGCGGGAACGGAGCGCGTGATAGCAGGGGGGTATTTCAACGTGCCTGTTGATAGAGTTGGTGCCAGACACCCAGGCCTCTAACAGTTCACGTCCTGTCTTATTGCTGGCCCGCGCCACTATCCGCATGCTCGCAAAGTTGAATTCGTGGCCTTCCTCCAGGGTGTGAGTGGCGATCTGAGACAACGGGTCGCCTCTCCGGACCGCGCGTTTGTGCTCCGTTATTCGTGAGCTAGGCGAGGGCAGTCCCGACATGGGATCTGATAGACGACGCCCGATTGTTCACCCACGTCTAGGCGATCCTTCACTTGCATGATTTTGCTGCGCATGGTCGCTGTCGGACGGTGAGCGATACCCACGCCGAGCTCTCCAGCAATACGTTCCATCGCTTCGGATACGTTCTTTATATATGGCAGAGGGTGCCAGAGTGTTGGCGGCTCTCCTCCGTTTTTTCGCCGTGGGCGCGTGCGGAGGCAGCGGCTGACGAAGCTGTTCGGGTATCCATTCCTTGCCAGTTGGTCCCGAAGATGCCGAAGTTCTCGTACTCGTCCCTCTGGTTCACTGCAGTGCGTTTTTACCCTCTGGAAGAGTGTCCTAACACAGCTGCGTTTATGAGCCATTGGGTGGTTACTGTGGTAGTTGAGAATCTGAGTCGTGTTAGTCGCCTTTCTGTACACCGTGGTGTTGAGTTCGCCGTTGGGTGTGCGTGTGATGAGAACGTCAAGGAAAGGCAGCTGTTCGGCATGCTCTTCTTCCCTTGTGAACTGAATGTCTGGGAAGATGCCGTTGAGCAGGTCTTGGAAGTCGCCCAGTCTGCTCCTTTCAATTATGACGAACGTGTCGTCCACGTACCGGCGCCAAAATGCAGGTTCATAGTGGTCGAAGGCGACTTTTTCCAGTTCCTGTAGGACTAGTTCTGCAACCAGGCTGGATATTGGCGAACCCATCGGCGTTCCTTTGATCTGCTCGTATGATCGCCTAGACGTTGGTGAACAATCGGGCGTCGTCTATCAGATCCCATGTCGGGACTGCCCTCGCCACTACACAGGACAAACCGGACGACGACTTAGCTCATGAATAACGGAGCACAAACGCGCGGTCCGGAGAGGCGACCCGTTGTCTCAGATCGCCACTCACACCCTGGAGGAAGACCACGAATTCAACTTTGCGAGCATGCGGATAGTGGCGCGGGCCAGCAATAAGACAGGACGTGAACTGTTAGAGGCCTGGGTGTCTGGCACCAACTCTATCAACAGGCACGTTGAAATACCCCCCTGCTATCACGCGCTCCGTTCCCGCGGCCAAGGGGCGAGACCCAATTTCCAGCCAAGGGTGCACACAGTCACGCCACCGTGAGACGGCGTGGGACGCAACTTATCGAGAATACCACCCGCTGCACTCATATCTCTCCCCCCCCCTTCATGGCGTGACTACAAAAACCGCTCATTTGATGTTGCCTTCTCACAGTCTCTGACGATGGCCTCCTGTACGAGACCGAAAGCTCAGACTAATAAACCCACTGTCGCAGAGATCGGATCTTCATCTTCTTTATAAAATAGTTTCGTCTCCCCTCGGCATTAGCTGGAATAGCTTCCGTCTGTACTTGAGAAATTTCTACATGGCATCAACATCAATATGCCGATTAATGCATGCACGGTAGTCTGTCTTTACCTTTCAAACGTTGGAGGGGAGGTAAAGACATCTTTCATCTATCCATCGGGCAGGAAACGCTGTTCAAGTACCCAACTTTCATTCCTTAATCCACACTTGGACAGTCATCACTGTCGTCTGTGCTTTCGTGTGATTCCCATGTGGGTACTCATATTGTGCCCGGATGCCCACATCATAGACACGCCTCCCCCTTCCATACAACGCTGATGTAGAGCTGAAACAGCTCCTTTGAAACAGTTTGTTCGAGGACTAGTCCATTCTCTTGCTAAAGGTAAGTTAGTTAATCCAGCTTAGAACCAGGACTGTGCGCAGTAAATAAGCCATGAGGGATGCTTCTTTTCCGATAATCATTCACAACAGGGCCTCTCAACAAACACACTGTCTTAGACCGTGGAAGAACCCGAAAGCATAAGTCAAGACCTGTCACTGTTTTCAGACCGGATAAAGGCCTCGAAGTGGGACCAATCCTACCTCTCGACCTCCTCTCACTATTCTCTGGCTGATACATTTTAACCTATCGCGACGCAGCGACGTTCATGGTGGCAGTCTTATCTGCCGTTATGACTACCAGTCCGTCACGGAGTGCTGGTGTGTGATGTGGGACCTGCAAAACCTCCGCTGGTTTGGATTGCATATATTCGGGCTGGTGGGGACGCAGTGGTTACGAACACAGCCTCCCATTTTTTCTTTTCGTGGGTTCAACCGAAGGCCTGGGTGCAGGCGGCATTTTCTTCGCGCCCTCCCCCTCTCCAGCAATCTTCGACTGAATGGTCTCCGACCGATCGGACCTGGCGCCGCTAGCACTGATTTCCTCACCAACAGCGACCTTGCTAACCACACTGACCTCTATTCGCACACTTCTCCGCCCAGTTTGACCTTGCCTGGCAGCCTGGGTGTCAGAAACGGCGGTGTTGTCTGTAGTGGAAGTAGTGGTTCCTCTTCCGATCCTCGCCACTTCTTCGTGGATCTCATCTACCCGCCCTTCACCACCGTGAGTGGTAACAGTAACGGTGGTAGTGGCGGTAGCGGTGGTGGTGACGGTGACGGTAATAACAACTCTGGCAACTTCGGGATCGTCTTCTCCGTCTCTTTTACGTCGACTGCAAACTTCCCCCATGATCCTGCATTCCACTCCCTTTCTGTAAGTCTCGGTCTTAATTCCTTAATTCCCTTCGTTCAGTGTTTTTTTCATCCTCTCTGTCTATATCTCAGTTCTTAATCGATGCCTCAAGCCTCTTATATGCATATATAAACGCATATTTCCATTTCATTCCTCTCACTCTTGCCCGCTCTGCAGTTTGTCAACTTCCCACCCCCTTCCCTCCCGACATTTCCTATGCTACCTGATCGTGTTCCCTATGCAACTTAACTGTACGTGACGAATGCGGTCAGAAGACCTCACCGTTGCCACTGCCGTTCTGCAACCGTTTGTGCCAGCGCCTGTCTTGTGGGTTAACTATTGTCGAAGGCTGAGCTGACGACGGCAGGGGACACTGAAAAGCAGCAGTTGTTTTTAACTTACCGAGTTCTCTGTCCCGCCAGTCAAATCGGTGTACACCCTTTCTAGCGCCTTACGTTCCATTCCTAAAAGACGTAGCCTGGTGACCAGACACTATTAGAGTTAAAGTTTTGCAGTGCTGCTGATGATGGTGGTGGTGGGGGTGCGTTGATCTGTTTGCCGTGTACATTTTATTTCTGTTTACTCATTTGCTTGTCCACTGCCTGATTCGAATATTTGTCGGTTGTTTTTCTCCACTCCTCGTCTTTGTCGCATTTCGGCGGTTGTCCGTTTCCGGTCCCCATCACTGCAGGGTAAAGTCATTTGTCTCTGCTAGACCAATCTGATTAATGTACGTGTATTGCAATGCTGGGAAAATCTGCACTGACTGTTCTTGCCCTTTGTGCGGATTTGTTAGAAATGGGCCACTTGGTACCATCGTCGTCATTAATAATACTTTCCTCATTCCGTTTCAGTCTTTGACTGCTCTCGGCTTCGCTGGATTCCCCAACAACTGCAACAATACAACCGTAGCAGCTGCCGCCGCCGCCGCCGCCGCTGGACAGATCGAACTCTGGCAGTTCCTTCTTGAGCTCCTCACTGACTGGCATCATAGAAATGCCATCCACTTGGTCAGTGAAGATAGCGAGTACAAACTAAACAATCCAGAGCAGGTGGCTTACATGTGGGGCCAACGTAAAGACAAACCAACCATGAACAACGAGAAACTGTCTCCTGCTGTGCGCTACTGCTACGACGGCGACATGATTTCCAATGTGCATGGGAAACGCTTCGTCTCTAAGTTCATCTGTGACCTCAAGACCCTTTTGGGCTTCTCCGCTGACGAGCTTGATAGCCCGGTGAAACGGTGTGCAGAAAAGCACTCTGCCAATGTCCCCTCAGCCTCCTCACGAAAACGTCGTCTCTCCGCAGTCTTGAGAAAGATCCACCTCTGGACAGCAGCGGAGGTTCCGCCTTCCTGTCCGCCTACTCTCCGCCTTCGGACATTTTCTTCAGCGCATCCTTCTCACCCGTTCGCCACGCAGGCGACAGTCCCATGGATTTTGACTCTCCTTTCACGTCCCCCTCCCCCTTCTGCCCCTTCGTTCGCGGAACGCGTGCAAATGTCCTGCTTCGCTTCACAACTACTCTGCAAATATCCTCAATCATGATGGGGACGATGGCAAGGAGGATTATGAGGATGATAATGAGGACAGAGGGACCGTCGTTAACGACTTGTCCTGATATTGGTAACCGCCGCTTTTATCATCCTCGCTTCCACTCTCCCTCGCTGTCGCACCAACCCTCAGGCCGTCTGCGTCCCACGGCAATGCCCGTTGCCTCTTGCCGTTCCTCGCCGCGAGGCCCCTTCCGTGGTCTGTTTGACATGAAAACAACTTTACATGAAAGTGTCGGCGATACCGCAGCAGGCTCCTCCTCATCGCCGCCTCCGCCGTTTGGTGGAGCCTGCGATGAGGTTATTCCCGCCAACTTTCCGTCCCCCACCTTGAAAACCAATCATAATCGACTATCATGTCAGCTCAGTACAGTGTTAGCTGATGCTATTGCCAATCTCGCGTGCCCACTATGAGATTCTTTCCTCTCAATCTCTATCGCTTCCTTGCTCTTGTATATACAGCAATATATGTCCCCATAGGTATAGGCTCAGTCTGTGGGTCTAGAGCATCGGCTTTGTATTAGTACCCGGTATGGAGAACAGACATGTCCTTGAAGAGCCGTGGACCTGCTTCTAGGAATCGGCATCGGCTTGTGAATTCTGGGAATTACCGAGGAGATGCAGGACGCTTCATTTCAGGCCCCGTCGCTTTGTTTGGCCGTGTGTTGCGGATAACAGCCCTCAATTTCTCCATGGGGTTGGAGGTAGAATTCTCTACTTTCGGGTCTTCGTTTCGAAGGGTTGCTTCGGGAGCCCATTTGAACCTTCGGCCTTCTTTGCCTTGCTGAGCAGGCGGCAGTTGTTTTCTCTGCGGTCGGTCGCGTTTCCTTAGTTATTTTCCTCAGAACATGCCACATCATCTGCTGACATTCCCTCCGGCGTTTCACTCAGAATGCGTCAGAAAGCAGTCCGTACCGCTCCTTTATCCCTGCTTTTGAGGGTCTGCGCAAACATTCGTGCAATAGACGCCCACAATTCACCTCTGCTGCTTTCAGCCAGCGAAGAGGGCAGTCTTGGCTATAGGGCTTTCCAAAGTTACAGTACCTGACGTATCCCACGAAATTTTAGTTGAGACTGGAAGGGTTACGTTGAAGTTGTAGTACTAATTATCATGCTGCAAACTCTCGTGATGCCTGCTTTCGGATGCGCGCCTGCAAAAATCACACGTTAAACAACGGCTACTTACATAGCATGATTTTTTTCGTTGTTTTTTTCGATTTAATTTTGAATCCCAACATATTTTGTGGGAAGTATACATGTAAGTACCACTTTATCCGTCCGTTTATTAATGACGCGTACGAGATGTACAACATGGCTTCTACGCGCTGTAGGATTGCTTGGGCCTGTAGCAGCCGCTCCAGTCCCCCTTTTCTCCGGCTCTGTTTTGTCTGTCGATGGCCGCGACAATCGTTGCCAGGCTGCGCACACACGACCACCCCCGCGGGCTAGAACTGGGGCCCATCCTGTCCAGCTGCAGTGACTCCCGACTGCTCTCACAAACTATTATCACCTCACGCGCGTCGGACGACCTGGCTTGATACCGGTGAGCCCCTGTAATTATGCTTCCCCCTAATCCTCACCTAATCCGTCCAAACTCATGACGAGCACTCAACCAGTCATCCCCACCTACTGACACAGACTTTCACCCTCGCGTAAACTACAAACCGCAACTGACGCTCTCCGTTAACGGACGCTTATCTCTGTTGCAAGCAAACAACCAACTTACGGCAATCTGCCCTGTATGCCGAATAAACTAGTCCCCCCAGCTCTCTGAGTTCTGACATTAGACGAAACGAACTTATTGTGCGTGGTTTAAGTTGATCTCACATCCTTGACCGACGCAAATTGGCGACCTCGACGTGATCGACGCGCAATCACCAGATGTGGCTGAACTTGACCGCCACAGGCCCTCTATGACACCTTTGCATCATAGAGGAATACGCGGTCTCCAGTAGACGAAGATCGTATGACAGTTCGACCCCCATTGTCGACAATGTCCAACGTGTTCCCCAGAGCAGGGTGGGAGCAGGAAAATAACTTACAGCTGAGTTAGTTTATAGTGATAGTAGACTTGCGCTGAATGCACCGCGCTTTCTCCTTCCCAACCTAAGTCCAATGTCAGAGCGACAGAACCAAGAAGACTGGAGGCAGAAGAGGGCGCAGGTGGCTGACACGGTGAAGACCCGCATCTAGGCGTACCACCACATCCCCTGGCCCACGGTGTATACTGACCAGGATGTTACACAACAGGAGGAGATATGTGGGCTCGGATCCCGCTAGGTGAGAAGGTCATAGAGGTCACATTAAGAAGGAGACGTTTCAGTCTGACTCGTAGTCCGCCAGTTGGCCACTCCACACAAATACACAGTGAGCTGGCTACCAAGTCAAAGCCGAATCACCTGTTGGCAACCTTCCAAGCCACGGCTTTTAGCGCACCATGATAGCTTCAGATTGTTTGTAATGAGGAAAGTGCCCTGAGACGTCGACTTCACCCTTTATGCCTACTTCCAGGCCCCTGTTCGAGCCGATCAGTTGTCTGGTGCGGGCAATGGGCGCGCTAGTGTCCTCGTCTGCACGCGCCGCATGCACGACCTGGTCCCCACAGGCACCAGGATTTCAAAAAGAATGGATGAGCAGCAGGGACCTCACATACGTGAGAGTGCTAGAGGTCAATTTTAGATGGAGGCATTGCAGCCCGTCTTTCAGCCCATTAGTCGACCACTCCTCGCAAACCCAGTGGGCTAACTGTGAGGTCTGGACTCCATCGTCACTGTACAACCTTTAAAGCCATGGCGCATAGCGCCCCGGGCTATTATCTGGCTCGGATCACATATGCGGCGGAGTAGCCACGCACTTTCCGCTTGAGAGGCGTCAATTACGTGCTTGCGTTGTGTGATGCTGGGCGTGGTCCTGTGTGTTGTAGGTACTGGTGAAGGGAAATATGGTGGTATGGTATAGCCGGCGATGTTCTTTATGGGGGCGCATGTGGCCTAATAGACCCTCACGGTGAGTGAATGTGCGAGGACAGTGCGGAAGATTGAGGCGATGACGTATGTCGGTGTCCCAGGTACAGGTTCGCCATCCTTTGTGCGGTGAGTCCGCAAGTGACCGACCGAACCGATGCGCGAGGCAAGCGTGCGATGGCAATGTGATCAAGCTACGTTGGGGGAGGTTGGTTCGGTTGTCGTTGTAATGCTGCTCAACAGGAAGTTGATTGGGCTGGAGATAGGCTGGGTAGTGGATGTGCAAAGTGCGTTATGTGTCGATACGGTGTGAATAGCTTCATTATGGGTACGTTTTGACCAAATAGACCCGTGCGATGTATGAATGCAAGTAAACAGTGTAGGCAGATGCGATTAGTCTGGTGGGCCACTTCGTCTTCGATTTTAACTCAGTGAGAGAGTGTCCTGGTTAAGTAGGCAAAGTTGTCCACGGTTTTAAGTTCGATGTCGTTGACGTGGAAACAAGGGCACTGTCTGCGGCATTGGGTAGCAATTGGCGCATGACTGCCGTTTTGTCCGTTTTGATGGTGAGTACGAAGTTGGCGCAGCCGGGTTCAGAGAGGTCGGTGCTCTGTTGCATAGTAGGGTCTGTCACGGCGTTAAGCATGCAATGGTCAGCGAAGAGCAGATCGTAGACGGTGGTCGTGTAGTGGCGCGTCGGGTGCGTATGCGCCAGCTGTTGAGAAGATGTCCGTGTGTGCTGTGCGCAATGCGGATCCCGGGGCACCCATTAGGGTGAGCGTTCATCAGCATGGTAGGAAACATGAGAATGAACATGGTGGGGGTGGGGAGTACGCATCCTTGCTTCACTCCGTTGGTTACTGCGAATGCTTCTGGGACGGCCCGGTTGTCTATGGCATGAGCCATCATCGTGTAGTGGAGCTGCCACACCGTATGCGTGAGTCGCTGAGGACAGCCGAATTTCTCATGATTCTCTACAGATCGCCGAGATTCATTGTGTCGAAGGCTTTCGTCAAGCCCGCGAAGATATTGTAGAGGTAGGTCCGCGCTTCCTCGCCATTCTCTTGAAGCTGGCGGTCAGCGAAGTTGATGTTGCCGATTTAGTGGTGGCATCGGAGTCCACACTGCCTTTCGGTAGAAGTCCCTGTTCAACATGGCCGTTTGGACGGTTAAGGAGGATGTGAACGAATATCTTCATGCTGGTGTTGAGAAGCGAGATTCCCCTGTGGTTTCACAGAGTTGCTGGTTTCCTTCCAACTGATAGAGATGAACGACTGCCGCATGCATGAAGTCCACAAGTGACTTCTCCTCGAAGCCACATATCCTTGAACAACGTTGTGAGTTGATCCATCAGCCGGGGGATGCCGTGCTTGTAGACTTTTGCCGGAATCGCGTCGGATTCCAGTGCTTTCTCGATAAAGAGTTGGTGCACGCTTAAACTGTTTCTGGGGTAGAAGGCAGCAGATCAAGATTGTTCTTCGTGCTCGGCCCAGTGTTTCAGAATCTGATTTCTCTATTTGTATCTTTGTGTTATCGGGACTGAGTAGCAGCGCGGGGTGTCGTAGACCGCCCTGAGTGATGCGAAGAAGTTCAAGGTGTCATTGTAGTCAACATACCCTTGAATTTCTTTGGCCTTACGATATATGCAGGCGTCCAGCCCCTCCGACCATCGTTGTTGCACACGACAATGATGGCGAAAGGTCTCCTTGTTGACGTCAGTCCGAAGGTTCCTGTAAGCATTGCGCAGCCTGTGCTTTTCGCCGAGTAGTAGACTGATAACTCCGTCGTTGTTGTCGAACCAGCCCTGTTGCTGACTACGTGCGCGTCCGCGGACACATGGGCAGTCGAGCCAATAGTGTTCCAAAGTTGGTCCCTTTGAGTACCCGCGGTTACGTTGTCCGGGGCCGGCATTTCTTCCAGGTGCTGCGTTGATGGACTGCTGAAATGTAAGCGATGAGTAGGCTAATTCAACAAAACAGAATTTAACTTATTTGGTAATCTCTTCCCTTGTGGCCTACTGCAAGATTTCACATGGCACTTCGTCTAGGATATGACGAGCAGGTGGTAGGTCGAGCCATCGGCTTAACAGTTTGCCCTGGTCAACAGCACGTCCTCTCGATCTCACCTCCGGACGAAAACGTATTTTGGCAGCTTCCAGCGCCGCGATCATGGTCGTATCTTCGTCTTCTTCCGCGCTGACAGGCGCAAGAACACGCTGGTCCAGTGGAGACGGTACTTCGCGCAGGTTCGCAGGAGAAGGAGGCCGCTGTCGTTGCAGCTGCCGATTCTGTCGAGACTCAGCACTTCAATCCAGGCTGCGTATTTCGTCTCGACCCGGACATTGAAGTCACCAAGGACAACCAGCTTTTCCGCATTCGCTTCACTCGCCAGAAGGGCCTGCAATTCTTCGTAGAATTTGGTTTCTTCATCGTCGCCACCGATCATTGGAGTGGGGCATAGACACTGACGATGGTGACGAATTTGGCTTCCCGAAGAGGTACGCGCAGGTTCGTGAGGCAGTCGTTGAGGCCTTGCGGCAGACAGGGCAGTCGTCCCACGATATCGTCCCAAATGGTAAAAGCGACATCTGCACCACGTCGCTTTACCTTTGGGCGACCTCTCCAGAAGAAAGTGTTGCTGACACTTACCTCCAGGTGGCTTTGTTAGGAGAAGCAGTTCTCGCTGAGAGCAGCGATGTCCACCTCGTGGCGCGCAGCTCCTCGAGTGACTAGAGTCGTCCTCCGTTTTGGTTGGTTGCCCCTCAGATCGTCCTTAAGAGAACAGACACTCAAATCTGTCAACGTGAGCGGACGCACCACATTAGCCTGTGGCGCGGAGCGGAGGTGGGTCGTGAGCTGTCGTTTGTTTGACTGTTTCGGCCGTGAGTTGCCCATCCGCGAGTCACCGGCTGTATGCAAATAAACTGTTCCGAGAATTTTCTAGCCCCTTCATCGCGAGGAGGTAAGCAGTGCTGTCTCAATAAAATGTTGAGCATACATCTCAAAGGGCCGTCAGACTGCACTATGTGTCGCGGTTTGATTTAGTAGGAGAGCGGCCCGAGTTGGACTGGGCCGCATGTACTTCTCTCCACAGGGCTTTTGGAAGTGTCGTAGAGAAGAGTAGAAAGGACGGGAGTGGAAATGGATGGGAAAATTCAAGTAAATTTTGGTTTGGTGGAACGCAAAATTTGATTCCTCACATCTGGTTTAGCCCGCCGGTTGAGGCGTTAAGCAGCGTGTGGCCGCTAGACAGAGACTAATTTCGGCAAACCACAAGTTAGAGCTGGGCGCCAAGTTATGGACGCTGGACGCTCGCATCCGCGGATTCTGTCAATTCCCCACAACAACCATTTTTGTCTTCCGAAATGAGTCGTCTCCAGATGGACAACGAGAATGGGACAATGGATTGACCTAGGACGTCCTGAACACACATGATGCAGTTCTTTATAGTGCGGTTCTTAAGTTTCCTCTGGCTGAGTTCCAAGCATACGAATATTCTGCTAGGTGAGATTTTGCGGAGCAAAATCCCTCTGGCATCCAGGACTATCTCGCCGAGTCATGGGTCACGTTCGTCCGTGCGTACTCGTCAAACCCGGAGGTCACCCTGCCAGCACATGGCCCCTTCATAGGCGGGGCTGGAAGGGGCTGGGTGGGGCCACAGCCCCCTCTGGATTGAATCATTTTGAAGCGTATTTGCATCAAAAGCTATGTTTCAAAAGCACCACTCATTGTAACTTCTTTGGCATTAAAAAGAGCTAATTTATCAAAATTGGTTTATAAATCATGGAGAAAGCATCCGTTTACGCCCACTGAATGTAGCTGCGGATCAGCACAATATACTGAGGTTTTGTTCAAGTCCCTCATTGCGTAAACTCTCATTTGTCCACCGGATTAGAATCTGTGTGTGTTATTTATTCGTATATTTGACAATCGATTGCAGATAATATCGTGAGTCAGCCAATGCTGTTTTCATGCTCTTGATAGCTGTCTTAGTTCATTTATGTATATTATGCTAATTGTTTAGGTATCTACTCACTAGCCAGTTCAAGTTGTCGAGTTGCATGTCTATGTGTGTATATTTAGCCTTGGTGTTCGTAGTCCACTTATACAAATTGTTTATCGTTTTTTACTGAATATCCAAAGCAATTATGAAGCGTAATTACTCTGGCTATCACTGAAGCACCAGCCGTCGAAGCGGGGACTTTTGGAGCGCACAACAAAATGGCATAACATATGTTGAAGTCCATGTATATACTGGCACTGACATTTATTATGATTGTACATATTTTCCAATTCCTTTTTCGTTTATACAATAAATAACTCATTCACATGAATTTGCGTCGCGTGTATTTGATATTGGCTGCCGATTAGTGGGCACGTGTACGGCGGGGTCACTGTGAGTACTGTGTAACACCGTAGTACTCTACGTACGCAGGGTGGCTTCCGACGTGTAACCTGTGGGAACAGTGAGGCGCTGCGCCTCAGGGGACTCGGTATATAGGACGATATTTTAAAGTGGTGCCAAAAGTGGGCGGGGATGTGGCGTCCCCTGCGCATTTTTTTCGCTGGCGGGGCTAGGCAGGGCTATCGCGTTGCATGCCCCGCCACAGCCCCCTCCACAGCCCCGCCTAGCCCCCTCATGGCCCCCTCTAGCCCCGCCATTATTGAGGGGGCCAGGCGGGGCCAGGCGGGGCTGGTGCTGGCAGGGCATCCTGGGTCGCGACACTTGCTTGACAATTTTGTTATCATGCATTAATAAGCTAGGAGTTTTCTTGTTAATGCTTCAAATGGCGAAAGATGCATATTTGTAATAGTGACGCATTCTACACTTGGAAACGACGTCAACTCGCAGCACCTTGAGGCATAGACCGTCCATTAGCGTCTGCGGAGCTGGTATCAGGTGATAACTGCGCTTTTTCAATGTTATTATTAGAATACCTTGGCGCACTCTTATTCTGAGCAGTCATGTCGAGCTGTGCCATGTTTCTCGAAGTTGAACAGGGTGTCTGCTGGCCTCATCTTTGTTTCTCGGATGCAAATTGCTGCTGCTGCCAATACTTTTATATCGAAAACAATTTAAATACCCCCACTTCTAACACATGTTGCAATCACAGCCCTACTCGTAGGTTAGACCTCGAAGCAATCGTCAGGGCGGCGAGTGGCGAGACCGCTGATTTCTTCCTGCATTTCCTTCGACCGCATCATAGTGACGACAACTTATCATCCAGCAGCAGAGGCCAGTCTTTAAGTCCGAATAATAGCCGAATGCTCTAGGCGCTAAGCGGATAGGCAGCATACGCAAGTGAACAAAATCGCTATAGCCTCCGGGATCCCTTTCAATATTTACTGCACAAATTGATGTGGAGAATTCTTTACCAAAAGTATTTCAAGGAAATCATTTCGGTGGACTTTCTCGTTTGCGAACTCCTTAGTCTTTTTTACTGACGCTTTACATGCTGGGCAGCGCATAGGCTGTGTGGCTGAGGTTCTGGCAGAGTAAACACCGAAAGCGAGTACAGTTGCCCCAGCAGACCGCTGACCTGACGACATCGCTTTGCATCGCAGGAGAGTGGACGGCCCTAATCCTTTTTAATATTGTTTCCCAAGTTTATCTTCAATTCTCCTCTGCTTGGTGGTAAGTTCCACTGAAATTGATACGGGTTTAGTGTAGTCGGAATTTGGCACCCACCGGTGCAGGCCCACTGTCCTCTTCGTGCTGATTGTTCGGTCGAATTAAAACCAGTCGAAGGCGAGGAGCTTCAAACAACGCTGCATGTTCTCTTCCTTTGTGGTGCTTAGTGCGAACCCATTTGCAAAAAATAGGTCATGAGTCTCGGCCTAGGATTCCTCCAAAGATGCTTTCAGACGATGGATGCTGAACAGTTTTCTGACGCCCGGTAATTGATGTGTATCTGCTGTCGCTCCTCGCGGTAGATATCATCAACTCGGTAGAAAAGACTGGGTTAAATACTACTGGAACGAGTACGCAAACCTGCTTCACGACGTTTGTCATTGTGGATGCTTCGGAGATTGTCCTGTTGCCCATTGCGAGAGTAATCATCACGCCGTGAAGCTGTCTTACCATTTGAGTAAATCACCCGCAAATCAGAATTTTTGCCTGACTTTCCAGGATCCATTTCGATTTACTGTGCCGAATGCATTCGGCAGATATGTGACAGTCCTTGACTTCTTGCTCTCCGTCACTTTGTGATGCGGCTCTTCTGTCCGCACCACGCTCCTTGTCGATTCGCTGTTGGGAGCGCGTAGGGTTTGTCTCTATCGAGAATCGAACCGGACCTTATCAGCAGCTTCACTGTCGCAGCTTTGCTGCCTCTATCCCTCATATATATTGAATTATACTGAACTAAATACTCGCGTCTTCGCTTACTGCGTTGCTGTCCGTGTTTGGTGATGCTCCTGAGACGATATTTTTCTCGCTTATTGCGTTTTGCTCTTCGTTTTTTAAACTCTGACACTGAAAAATTTCTTCTGCCCACCAAGGTTCTGCTGCATGGGCTTCCGTATGTCAAAAAGCCCGTTATTCTTTGGTTTTTTGTTTTGGATATATACTCACTCACCACAAGTTTCATCCTCGTGTCTTGCACTTTTCGCGCTTATTTCGCTCTTGTCACGATATGTTGGCTGTTTGCTGGAAACGTATATATAGCGGGCGCAGGTTCTAGACGCGAAGGACATCTCATTCCACTTATCACCTAACGAAGCGCCGGCGCTGGTCGTACTATTTTAGTCAAATTGCTGATTTTCCGTAAACATAGGGATTAGAGAATTGGTATATTTTCGATTTCGATGTTATAATGAATTCTTCGGATTTGATATGAGGAATTAGAATGAATACTTAAAATTTAGCGTGTGAAAAAAGCTACTTAAATTTTTACAAATCGCACGAAGTTTATCAAGAAGTTTCTCAGCGATCTGCAGATTTCGAAGGACCTGAATAACTTCAGGTCATGGAGGATTTCAACAATTGCTTTCCGAGGCTGCAGATAACAGCGAGTCGGCAGAGAAGTCAGTTGAACTGTGCTGAAAATCAAATTGTGCTTGACTCGGTTTCCTGACGAATTTCGATACCTGAAAAAAATGCACAAAGTTATTTTGCACGTAGAGTTTCAATGTCAATATTGGAAAGAATAATTGTGATGTGGTAGCCAAATCAGTGAAGTCCCAGATGGAGGACAGAATAATCCCGTTGTGCTCGGTCGGGCTTTCTTGCCCATATTTAGAGTCGCGACTCCACCACACGACTTGTTCGCCACATCCTGCCCACTGTCTCTCCCGTGCTTTCTCGGCTCCGCCGTCTCCGGCCTGCACGTCTTACTGTCGCCAAGACCGAGTTCGAGCACATGCCTTTGATTAGCATCATTCATTTATCTGACAGTTAATGGTCCTCACTCCTTCTTATGGTCCTAAGTCCGCCATTAGTGACTGGCGCCCCTGCAGCGA